TTTTGTTTCTGTGAATACTACAATACCTAGTGCCTCTTCAACGAAAAAAAAAAAAAAAGATCTATGTGCCTAAATTAAACCCATCCTATTGTCCTCAAAGGAAATATATGATTAGAATTTCATATGGATAAATAGCAAAACAAATAATGCATTTTTCTAATGGGTTTTTGCTTAATATCTGCTACTGGATTCTGTATATGGCCAAGGCGTCACAGTATTTGGCTTGGTAGGTTTAAGTGTTTGCATCATTTTAATAATTTTATATAGTCTTTTCTCCTTCTGCACTTCTTGGGAGCAACTGGATTAATAAATTGATCTTCTACGTAAAACTCAACTGAATTAATTAAAGTAGGACAAAGATTGATAGAGAAAATAAATGTGACCGAAGATCCATTCCGATTCAAACGATTGGTTGTATTGAATTAGGTTTGCCGGACCCAAGCAAGTAGACATCATCGCTTTTCCATCGTGCAGCGGTGCGGCGGGATCCATTACGCACGGCTCCCCTTGCATCATAATTCATAAAGTCTCCCCCAAACAGACCAAGACAAGATAAACAGTCTTGGAAGCTGCAAAAAGGACAAGAACAAAGAGTCTGCCAAATATTTGACTATAGTAGTTGTCAACATCCTAAACAGTGCTCTCTCCTCTCATGTTATACTTTCTATTTTGAAATATTTTAAAATAATTATTATATTAAAAAAGTCAAAATATCTTTTAATCTGTCTTTTTAATATAATTCTTATTTCTAATAATATGCATGTTATCATTTAAATTTAAATTTTAAATTTGTAGGAGTAAAATTAAAAAAAGAAGCACAAACATTACAATCAAATCACTATTATTAAAAAATTAAATTCTCCAAACATGACGAAATAAATGGGACGGAGGGAGTAACATGCAAACTTATAAGATGTTTTCTTATGTTTGCAAAAACCAGGAATCGTTAATAATATAGTTGTAAATTTACTAAGAAAATTGGTATGTTCCTAATAAAATTACACTTTGCAATAAAATTATCAATAATATTCATGAGAAAGAATAGTGCTATACTTTAAGGACTAGTGCAATGTTCATCTTAAGGCATTGGTTGGTTGCGTAGAGTAAAAAATTTAGTGTTTTGTTAGAATATAGTTTTATTTAAACACGTATTCAATTGTAAATAAGCAATGACTGTGAATATATAAGCTACAGATCGAAAATTGTATGCACTAACTAAATTATTCATAGAAAAATGTTATAGAGTAATAAGTTTTGCTAATAACGCTATATGTTTTTGCTAAGTAAGAGTATTTTTTTTAAAAAAAAAGCATAAAAAGTGCCTGAAGAAATTTTGTAAATATCATTAACAGGATGATAAATTTTACCAAGAGCTTTTTAGTCATAAAAAAGTAGTTGTGAGTTTCAATAAAAGAACGGTAAATTTTACTTAAAAATTGGAATGGTTTGCATGAAAAAATGTTAAGATATGTTAATAATGTAATAAATTATGCTTGAACAAGTAATAACTTCTGTGTTTGAACAAACGGTAAGTTTTGCTTGAAAAATTAGTAAGATATGTTTTATATAAAAAATGATAAGATTTGGACCAAAAGTGATACTAAAAATTTAATAAGATTGTTATTTAAAGAGTTAGTTACAGAAACTGTGAAATTCATTTCTTTTATACAAAAACTTACTATTGGTTATACACAATTTACTGCCACAACTTTGTCCCTAGTGAAACTTATATAATAGCTTATTAAAACCTACATGTCGTATTACATTAGTCACTCATTTGTGACTTATGGTTACTCTTCCTCGCTGTAGACTTTTCCAACACTTGAAGGAACTTTAAGCCTCAATTTTTGGTGTTCGAGGAAGATTTGCACTTTTCCAAAATTTTACCATACAAATCCTCCTCTTGGTGACTCTATGGACAAATATGTCTTGGTCTTTGACAAGTTTAGGTGAATTCTCAGTAGCCTCGGCTTATCATTTTAGTTAAACAATCTAGGGATCCTAGGATACATTTAATGGTAGGCTTCTTTGGTATGTTTCTTCTTGCTTCGTCTTTTATGCGATCAACTTCCTTAATGTAGCCTTTTTAAGTAGGTTGAGAGTCTAGATCATATTTTCTACTTGGAAGAGGTAGATCGGATGATTTACCTTTTGGGCATGTTATTTCTTGTTATCTTCATATTGTTTTACTTATAAGTATCGAAGTACATTGTCGAAAGAAAAGCTAAAAATGGGCAATATATCTGGAAGACTTTAGAAGCCTGAAATTTGGATTACTGATTTAAGGTGGTTGGCAAATACCTTTTCTAAGGGGATGCTATATTTCTTCAATTTTCAGTTGGAAAATTCAAATGTTGGGCTAATATCTTAATGTTTGTCAAGGTGATTTTTCATTAAAAATGGATGTTTTTTCATTGTTATGATTGTTTGGTTACTAGCAAACTCTTGTCCCTAAGATGATTTTAGCAATTTAGTCTTCCTGATGGCTTTATGCTAGCTAATTGCTATGGTTTTTTCCCGCCCTCCTGTACAGTAGTTCAAAGAACAATTCAATTCCTTTTGATAAGAGAATCACAGTTAAAATTCATTAATATTTTTATATAGAAAGCCATATATGAGTTAAGACAAAAACAAATTAATGGATAACCCAACTCTTTGTAATTTTAGGGATTCTTATGTTTATGTCTCTCACTTAGAAAGAAATGTCGTGATTTAAAATCACTTTTTTTTTTTTTTTTATAAATGAACTCTTTCTAAATTGGTAGGATTTTTGTTGTGACTTCGCATATGAATTGGATTTACAAGAATTGTTCAATTAATATGCGCGGAGTTTTGACAAGGATAATGAATGGTTTTGATGGGAAAAAAAAATAGTTCAACTATTAACTTTGAGCAATTTCGACTAGGGTGTTTACATTCTGGTAAAATTACTACTATTTACTGCCCTAGTATCAAAACCAATGTTGCACTTACCGTAGTATTACAACCATTTACTGCTTTAGGATCCATTATTTCGAAATGCACGTTGGGCCGGAAGTAGACAAAAGCTGTCTCGCTTAGGCTCCGGGGTGGGGACCCTAAATGTCTCTACCAACACAACTTGCCGACAATATTTGACTATTTTCAGGTTATGAGAAAAGTTGTAAACCTTGAACTAAAGTTTATTCAAGATGCAAATATGATCTCAGAGTGAATAGAAGGTACAACAATGGAGATATGCTGCAGCAGTAGCCGTAGTTGCTTTGAACTCGCTCTCGATTTTCTGGGCTTGATCGATAAGACATTCCATTATTTCGGTGATGTTATCTATGAGCTGGAGATCGACGTGAGACTTTTACAAAGCTTTGATCTGTATCTGACAAAGTGTAGGAGGAGGAGGAGGAACCATAAAACCTGTTTGGAACAAGATAAGGAAGAGAAGGATGTTACTTCTTTCAGAATTCAAAATCTGATTATCAGAAGAATGCAAGATCTTGAATTTGCTTGCAGCGAATGCTTGATTCCTTCTCATTTAGCTGGTTTGACTCAGATCCTACGTGAGCTCACCAGATTTCGGGAAGCAATCAAGTTGTTTTTCGAGCGACATATCAAGGAACCGTGCATCAACTTTTTGTTGGAGTATTACTGGCTGAGAGATCCAGAACTAGTTATTGATTTCATTGATTCGGTTTCAAAGGCTCTGGCTAAAATGAATGGATTCCATTTGGAACGCCTTGTAGAGAACCTAATGTTCTTGAAGAGTTTCATTCTTTTTGCCATGCTTCGCGGCGTCAAGGGTCAGCAACTGATAGATCTCTTGATTCACGGTGAAGTGGTGGCTATCAATGCATTACACCTGGCTTCTGTATGGTGCTTTCACACAAATAAAGAAGTACAGAATGAAACAGAACTTCAAATGACTCGACTAATACGCGAGAAGATTAATCCCGGTGATCCCCAGGTCCGAGAAAGTTACATCCATGTCTTGACTGCTGCAAAGTTATCAAGATCATCAGACACTTCAGCTCTGGAGAAGAATAAGCATCTAGTAGTTGACTTTATGGATTATCTCGTTCACAATATTAAGGAGCTGCTGAAATCTTGTACCAGTACTCCAGTCCCGATTATGAATCAAATGCTCAAATTTGTCGAGGGGCTAAGATTCCTGACAATCCTCCTCAGGCATCAGGAGAAGTTCAAAGAGCTATGCCATGAAATGAAGAATCTGATTGGAGTTGTGTCCTGCGATGCAGCGGTTGTAATCTTCTCTCTCTCTCTGAATCAAATCAAAGAAGGCTTGGCCAAGGAAACCGATCTTGCTCTTTTTCATTTGCTTAAAGCGCTCAAGTTTATTAGGGCAGAAGTTACCGATCCAGTAACATCATTCTCGCCATTTGGTTTTCCTAGGACCAATGAGTTGGGCTGTATGGATTTTCTGCTTGAAAATCTGAAGGAACTAGAAAGTTGTAATGAGGCTGACGATTCAATTGCATTCCCAGAAGATCAAATCCACACAGTCCTAGAAGATCTCGTATTCTTAAGATCTTTCCTTGCCAAAATAGTAGACCAGCGCAACCGGAATGGAAAACTCCAATCTCTTTGGAGTCATGTTATGGAGGTTGCACACAGGGCAGAGTTTGTCATTGACTCTATAGTGGTTGGTGATAAACATCAATATTTGGAAAGAGTTGCCAGCGATATCCAGCTTTTGAGGACTGAGGCCCTTGAAACCTATGATAGCACGAGGCATGACTATGAAGCTCAGAGAACTAACCAGAAATCTTTCCGCATTGAGGCAAAACGTAGCACCCCAGTGTTGAATGAAGTTCTGGTGGGTCTTGATGATGAGGTAAAGACAATTATTCATAGTCTTACCAGGGGTTCAAAGCTGTTGGATTTTGTTTCAATTGTGGGTATGGCTGGACTTGGTAAGACAACAATGGCCAATAGAGTTTACTGATCCATTAATTTTAAGCCACTTTCATATCCTTGCTCGGTGTACTGTTTCTCACGTGTATAGCATGCACAGTTTGTTAGTTCAGCTTTTATGTAGTATTTCTTCTAAAAGTCCTGATCAATATCTTGAGATGGACGAAAGTGATTTGGCTCACAAGCTGTACAAACTTTTAAAGAGAAATAGGTATCTCATTTTTTTGGATGATGTGTGGGAGATTAAGGCATGGAATTTGGTCAAAAGTTCATTGCCCGATGATGCTAATGGAAGTAGGATTCTCTTCACCAACAGAATTCAATTGCAATTCAATCCTAATAGCAAGGCTCACAATCTCCGTCAGCTTACCAACGAAGAGAGTTGGAAATTGCTGCAGAAAAAGGTATTTGGCAAAGAAGGTTTTCCTCCGGCACTGGGTAAAGTTGGATCTCAAATAGCAAAATTATGTAGGGGTTTACCTCTCACAGTTGTCCTCGTTGCTGGAATTCTTGCTAATACTGCAGAAGACTGCTGGGAAGAAGTTGCAGAGAGTCTAACTTCCAGTATTGTCCTTGATGACGAATACTGCAGGAAGACGCTTGAGCTGAGTTACAGTCATTTATCGGATGATTTGAAGCCATGCCTCCTTTACTTTGGTGCATATAAAGAAGATGAAAATGTTCCTATCCGAAGGTTGTTATGGCTCTGGATCTCTGAAGGCTTCGTGCGAAAGACTGAAGAAAAGAGTTTAGAGGATGCGGCAAATGACTATTTGAAGGATCTGGTTGATAGAAGTTTAGTTATGGTTTCTGAACAAAGATCTATGGGTGGTGCCAAAGCCTGCCGAGTTCATGATTTGGTACATGAGTTTTGTGTGAAAAAAGCCAAAGAAGAAAACTTTCTACATGTTTTGCATGGTCGGAATGATCGTTTTATTCTTACTGGCCCAAGCAACCCCCTCCGAGTTTGTGATCAAAATGGCAGGAATTTCATGATTTGGGAGTTAATGTTAGAATTTCCCAATGTACGCAGTTTGTTATTGTTTAAAGAGGATGATTTGGGATTTTGGTTACCTAAACTTCTTAGAGTGTTGGATTTGGGGGAATTGGAGTTTGGTGCATATTTTCCTATGGAAGTATTTTTGCTTGCTCACTTGAGATACTTGGCTCTTCGTCTTAACTTAATAGATTCTATCCCAACTGCAATTGCTAACCTCTCGAGGTTACAAACTTTTCTGCTACGAGGAAACAACGCTGATTGTTTGTTACCCAAGACTATCTGGAACATTAAGACATTGAGGCATCTGTGGACTACAGATTCCTCTGTTGGTTTTATTTTTCCTGTTGAAAATCTTGAAGTATCCCCAGGCTTACTTCATTTAGACGCTTTAAGCCTTGCCATTGATCCCTCCTCTCAAAGCTTACAAAAGATACTGACAAAGTTACCAAACATCCGCAGGCTAAGATGTAAGATGACGGAATCAAGCGAAGAACCTACTAGAATTGGCGACGGGATTCTCGTGTTTGACTGTTTGAGTCAACTAGAATCACTTACTCTGCGTTACTTTGGCAGATATGGATTTAAATTCCCTTTGAATTTGAAGAAGTTGACTCTCTCTCACAATGAGCAGCCATGGAGTGAAATCTCAACAATTGGAATGTTGCCCAAACTTGAAGTGCTTAAATTACTCGATGACTCTGTCGTTGGGGAAGAATGGGAAATGAAAGAAGGGGAGTTCCCTAGCCTCCGAATCCTGAAATTGAGAGGCTTGTGGGACTTTCGCAGCTGGACTGCATCTTCTGATAATTTTCCCCGTCTTGAGAAATTGGTTGTGCGCGATTGTGAGCATTTGGAAGAGGTGCCTTCTTGTTTAGGGGAATGTCCGACTCTTGAAATGATTGAGGTGAGAGAGTGTCGTGAGTCTGTTGCAAGTTCAGTGAAGCAAATTCAACAAGAACAGATAGATATGGGAAATGAGGTTCTAGAGATCTTAATTGAAGATTGTGTTGATCCATGTAGTCCCAGCGAAGAAGAAGAAGAAGAAGAGTCAAGTCCCTCAGAAACAGAGTCAATCTCCTCACAAGGAGTCTAGTTGAAGTTAGCTAAGCAATTCTTCTTTTAATTCTGCTACAGATTGATATAGTTAGCTAAGCACAACGATGCACTTTTCCTTCTTTGTATTTCGGTCAGAGTAGTACAGAAACTTTTAAATTGCTTCTGTTTTTCCTCAACAAAGAACCATACACTCAATTAATTAATATGTTAAAACATTCTGCTGCTATTTAGTTGCTTGCCATGTTATTATTTTTGTAGTATGTGTATTACGGTTATTATTAGTATTATTTGTATTAGAATATATAATTTTGTGGTGTTTCTACATTTCTTATATTGGTTTTGTTCTCCTTTTTTTCCCGGTTTCTTTTTCCCTTTTTCCCCCAAATTCTCTTGCTATTAAATTGCTTACCATATTATTATTAATTTATTATTATATTGCTATTATTATTATTATTATTATTATTATTATGAGAGGTCTTTGCTGAATTGTGGGATTTAATAAAGGATCTTTGATGTGTGAATGAATAATGGAATTTGCGTGTGTTATGAGTTAAATAGGTGTAATCAGCTGACGACGACGTCCTAGTTTAGTAGCTAAAAATAAGGATGCAGAAATTAAGTGTCCTAACTTTAAATCTCATATTTATTTTTTTTTACCGACAATATTTTTTCTCAAGGTTATTGTTTTTTATAATATTTTTGTTATTCTAATAGAATATGCAATTGTGCTATTATGTATTTTTCTCCTTTTTCTTGAAAAATAGTTTGCCAAAGAAATTGCGCCTGCCAAAATTCTTTATTATTACGCGGTACTTTCCCTTTTTGGATGGAATGCTTCCTTCCCTTTCATAACTCACAGTTTTTTGTATGAGTGTTTCGATAAATGGACTCTGCGAAGACACTTCAAAAGCCGGCAAATGGAATGCTTCCTTCAGTTGTGCTCTTTTTTGTTCTTCTTATTTTATATTATTATATCTGTGGTGCTGCCGCATAGCAGTTGGAAGTTATGAAGAGCTCATTGGCATTTTTCTGCAAATTCTCGGGGCAAAAGGTAAATGTTTCCACTTTCCAAGTCAAAGTTGTATGTGTCGTCAATGAGGTCCAGGCAGGAAGACCTGGGGATGTATCTGGGGAATCATGAGATTGCTATGGCTCCAGTTTGGGTTAGAATCGGCTGTCTCTCACATAAGGAGTCTCTCTAGGGAGTTCCCCCTTCTTTTCCTTTTTTTTTTTCCAAAAACTTTTTGCTGTTAAATTGCTTACCATATTGTTACTTTTAATATTATATTACTATTATTATCTTATGATTATTGCTGTTATATACCTTTCATAGGTAGTAATAATAGCAGCACTTCTACTAGAGTTCTTACCTTTAACAGCACTTCTGCTAGAGTTCTTACCTTTTTATGTAAATGTAAATAGTAAATGATGGTATAATTGTGGTGCTATTGGAATGCTTATTGCTTTTGAAATGTTTTTTTTTTTTGAATGAATTACAATATTCCCCTGTGTCTTACAAATTAAATACGGATAGGATCCCCTTTTTCCCCTTGCTAGATGGGGTTGTTATTTTTTCTTTTCTTTTATACCTTTTTCTTTTTTTATATATACAATTGATATCTTTTTCTATATTTTGTGGGGTTTTATTCTTTCTTTTTTTTTGTTATTTGAATTCTATTGCTTATGTAATAATAATCGAAAAAGACATCCTTTTTAGTGCAAAATTTTTTGTGCACATTTATTCTTTTTTTTTTCCTAATATGCAATTGTGTTACTATATTGTTTACTGCTTTTTTCTAATGATAGATTAAGAAAAAAATTCATCCTAGATTTTTAACTACCCATTTTACTGCATCTTTGTCATAATTATTTGTCTAAATTGTAATTTTTTGTGAGCTTTTTTTATAATAAAATATATAATTGTATTACTCAGTTGTTTTCTTTCTATTTTTAATAATAAGTTAGAGAAACAATTGTTCACAAATTTTTTTACCCACTTTGCAACAGATTTGTATTCATTTTTGTGCCTGGAGTTTTATTAAGGCCTTCACTTTTTCAATTTAAGGAAAAGAAATAAGCTTGATATATGATTGTAGTGCTGCTGCAATCCTTATTATTACTTTTATTAAGAGGGCTTTCATGTATAACTAAAAGACATAGAGGTGTAATCAGTTTCTGAGGTCTTGGTTTAGTAGTTAAATTTGAGATTCCAGAAATTAGAGGATCTAAGTATAAATCTCCTTGTCAGTTCCACCTATCCTCTACTAGGAAAAAAAACATAGATACAAGTGCAATCTATTTTTTGTTTTAACCTCTTGGATGGAATTGTTATTTTTTAAAAAAACAATTCATATCATTTTCTCTTTTTTTCAGGGGGGGGGGGGGTTTATTCTCTTTGCTATTTGAATGCTATTGCTATGATTTCAATGCATAATAATAATCACAAAATATTTTTTTTACCGACAATATTTTTTGTATGAGTTTATTGACTTTTTATAATAAAATATACAATTGTGTTACTATGTTGTTTTATGCTCCTTTTTTCCCAAATAATAAATTAGAAAAAATATCCCTACAAAAAAATCTCTATAAATTGTATAGTTTTAAGAGGTCTTTTATGTATTACTTTTAAGAGGCCTTTCATGTATAAATAAATGATGGAATTCATGTGACAGCCCCACCTTCCCTTAGGGCGTACCCCAGGGTTTAGCGGACCGCCTGCCCATCTCTCATCGGGACTCAGTCGTTCACTTCAGTTCTCAATTAAAACTAGAATAAAACCACAAGAAAAAGTATAATAACAATCCAAAACTTAAAACGAAACTTATATACATTGCTATCTCAAAAAGGAGTACAAACATCGAATATACAACGGTTCTCAATTCTGCATACATCCAACCCGTGCCAAGCACTAGGGCGAGAACTATTACAAAAACAAAGAACTAGACTAGGCTAGTCTATACCGGGCTCTCGTCCTTGCTCGTCTTCCCTGTTAAGGAAAACAAAACTAAAGAAATGAGTCAGAAGCTCAGTGAGGTTCCGAACACGTAAGCAAACAATAAAGACAATGCATTAACCATAGATAATCCATAATTCAAGAAACAAGTACAATGGAAAGCGATAAACATTCATTAAAAGGATACGTGCTCACAAGGAGCCATTTATTCGTTCGTTCATTCGTTCTCCTGTCATTCCCCTTATTCCTCCAATCATTTGAAAATGCATTTTTGTAAGTAAAACCCTTGTTCGTTCGTTCATTTTATTCACCCCCTTCTAGACGTTGGCCAGGCTCCACCCGACAACAAGGCAATACTCGAGTATACCAAACGTTCACCCAGGGTCACCAAATCGCCCGACCGAGTCCGCTTCTGGCTCGAGTCGACCGGCAACGAAGGGCAAGGGCCCAGTTCAGCCAAACGGCTTATATTCATGCGCAACTAGCATTTAATTATTTAATCATTGAAAATTTCACATTCATTTAGGTCGAGTGCGATAAAGTACACACTCGCCTAGAAAACTCATTTTAAGCAATCATTGAAGACATTTAACATGTTATCATTCGTTCATAACAAGTCATATAGTCAAGAACAAGCCACATAGTCAATGAAAATATAACAAACAAGGAACACTCACCTATTTACGCAAAACAACGTCCAAAATATCTTTCCGGGTAACACTCTCAATCACCAATGAACCCTAAGGTTAATCAAGAGAAAATATAACAATTCGTCCAACAAAAGTTAGGTGAATCGAAAACAATTCAAATACTACTAATACAAAGTATAAATATGATTTTGGAAGTGAAAAGAGTATATTTAAACCAAAGGACATGAGTAAAATATTTGAAAAACTTATACTCGCTCGCAAATCGTTACCTAATCCTCGAGTGTCAATTTGGGCAGCACGCCCTTTGTATTTACCTATTTTCCAGCCACTTATGACTTCATTATTTTCCTCAATCAATCCCAAAGTCATACACAATATAAATTCATCACAACAGCCGTTCAATAGGCTCAAAGTCATTCAAGTACAAGATTTAGCTAGGAAAATGACCGGAAATGAGTTTTAAGCTAAGAAACCAAAATGGCAGATTCACCGCTACTTAGCGTATCGGACATAACCGAAACTACGCTTATTGGATTAAGTGCAAGTTATACCGTTTCGAAACTAAGATAGAGGGCTATAACTTTGATGAAAACTACTTAGTCCAGTTCTCACCCTAACTAGGTCAAATTTACCAAAACAACCCCAGATTTTCCAGTTCGAAACTCACTGTGAAATTCGACTAACAGTCCTGATTCATTCAATCATATCTCAGCACACACAACTCCGATTCAGATAATTCCAAAGCCATTTGAAAGCTAAGATAAAAGGCTATAATTCTTAAGAAGACATCAACAACCAATTCGGTAATATTCCTGGTCAAACTAACCACTTACAGAGGCTGATTATCATATTTGACAGAAACAGGGCAGCAGGGGCAATTTTATCATTTCACGAGTTACAGTACTTGGATTGGGCTGAAATTTTACAGATAGCTAGATAACTCAATTACCAACAACTTTCATGTTTTGGGCAAGAACTAATTCGGCCTCTATCATGGCATAACATGTCCGGGCAGATCAGGGTAAAACAAAACCCTAAACTGGAATTCATGCATTCAAGTGCTAATCTGTGGTGCTGCCGCATAGCAGTTGGAAGTTATGAAGAGCTCATTGGCATTTTTCTGCAAATTCTCGGGGCAAAAGGTAAATGTTTCCACTTTCCAAATCAAAGTTGTATGTGTCACCGAATGTCAATGAGGTCCAGGCAGGAAGACCTGGGGATGTATCTGGGGAATCATGAGATTGCTATGGCTCCAGTTTGGGTTAGAATCGGTTGTCTCTCACATAAGGAGTCTCTCTAGGGAGTTCCCCCTTCTTTTTCCTTTTTTTTTTCCAAAAACTTTTTGCTGTTAAATTGCTTACCATGAGACTCTAAAAATTAGAGATCTTAGATTCAATCATTCAATAATACTTTTTTTTCATGAGACTCTAA